TGACTATATATTCCTATGGGTATCACCAATGAAAGGCGTATTTTGATTTAGGAAGAAAGGAAAGCTAAGTCCGCAATACATCGAACCATTTGAGATACTAGGTCGAGTAGGCGATAAGGCATACCGTCTATCGCTACCGTTATCATTAGCAATAGTACACAATGTATTCCAAATGTATATGTTAAGAAAGTATATCGAAGAACCAAAGCAAATTTTAGAGATGGAGCTATCGAACCTTGCCGCGAGACTTAACATACGAGGAGAGACTAGTCCAAATCCTAGATAAACGAGTGAAACGACTCGGGAATAAGGAAATTGGTTTGGTTAAGATTCCGTGGAAAAATCATGACCTCAAAGAATTAACTTAGGAATGGGAAGAAGAAATGAGAGACAAATACCCAAAACTTTTTGTATGAGTCAATTTTGGGGATGAAATTTTTTTAAGGAGGGAGAATTATAACCCTCGTAAAAAAAACATATATATATATATATCAAAATCAGTGTGCTAAGGACTATATTCTCGCTCGAATTTTATGTGATTTATTTGAGCACTTTAGAGTGATTATATATATATATATATAATCAAAATCGAGTGTGTTAAGGACTACATTCTACCCAAATTTTTTGTGATTTATTTGAGGACTTTAGATTGATTTCGGTAAAACTTAAAAAATAAAAGTTGTTCATCTATGTATCTAAAATTTTGTGATTTTTAGACCTATATATAAAAAGTTATGGCCATTTTAGTGTAAGTTGGTCTTGAAGCATCACTACTAGAATTTTTTAGAAAAGAATGGACAAGGAATTTTTGAGTTTTAAGAAAAGAAATTTTCGAAATTTCATGAAGGAAACTATGTTTATTTACTTGAATCAAGTTAATTAGGTTGTATATTTAACCTAAATTTTTAGTTAAACAACTAAGTAATGCATTAAATGAATTAATAGCCAACTCGCCCATTTTTGTCCCAAACCCGCCACCTCTTACATGACTCACCATAACTTTTACACCTTGTCCCATTAATTTTTAACACTTGTAACTTAATTCACTTAAAAGGGAAAGTAAGTGTATATATATATATAAGAAGTGTTAAGTCGGTGAGAATTTTTAGCAAACCAAAACCACTAAATTGAGAGAGAGAGAAAAACAAGCAAGAAAGAGAGAAAGAAAAAGGAAAGGAAAGGAAAAGAAAGAAGGCAGAGCCAAGGGATTTCTAACCATACCTAAGCTAAGTAAGTGGATTTCTTTGGTTTATTTATACTTTTACATGTCCATTTTTATGTGTATAAGTTAGGTCTTGGTTGAGTTGTTTGTGTATTGTTGAGCTTGGTTTGTGTTGGTGGTTGTTTGATGTCTTGGCTTGCTCTACTTATGGATGTTGTGTAGGTGATGAATTGTGGTGTTTATAATGCCTAGTATATGTCCAAGTATGTGCAAATGAGTTGGATTGGACTTGGAATGAAATTTAATTAGACTAAAACATGGTTAATGTGGGTTGGAATGAATGGCCAAACTAGGGTTATTGAGGAGTAGTTTACGTCCGACTTTGGTATTGCCTATTCAAGGACTTTAGAATGATTTCTAGGTGAACCTTAGAGAATAAATTTTTTTTATCTATTTCTTGACTAACTCCCTGTAAAATATTTTTATTATTGGATTTATATAGAAAAAGTTATGCATGTTTTAGTACAGATTGTGCTTGGTAAACTACTGCATGGACAGATTGAATCTTAAACTTTAAAATTATGTTCTGAATTTGTTGTTTGATATTTAAACCTAATTTTTTGATATGTTATGAATCAATATGTCTAGTTTATAATAAAAAAAAAGGATAAGATTTAATTACGCTCAAAAATTGGTACATCACCTACTTGATTGGAGGTTGCCCTATAATAAACCACAAATTGGATAGGAGGGGAAAATGAATTCCTAGGGCTTTCACTAAAGAATCCTTTCAACCTAAGTAAGAAAATGAATAATATTGGACCCATTTTTATAATTAAGGGCATAGGACTCAATTACAATTTAATTAGGTATACGAGTAATAAGTTAGGATGAAAAAGTAATCTTTGGCCACTTTAAGGACCTATTCGACTTAAAACCTAAATTTTAGGGACTTGGATTCCAATCCTTCAATTCCATAATTAATGGTTCAAGTACACCCTAATAAGTATAAGAGGAAGTTTAAATAGAAAAAATTGCTAGGTAAATCGAAATTTTGACCAAGAACATTAAAAGCCCAAAATGCCCCAATTTAGGTTTGAAAAAAAAATGTTACCTTAGTATATTTTAAACCGGTGTATGAACTATATGAGGAAACCAGATTAGGTTGGATATCGAGAAGGAAATAATGATGTAGATGGGTTGAATATTGAGGAAGAAATAACGGTGTAGGGTTTGATATCCAATATCCTTGGTACTCGTAATTGTGGTATCAAGTACATCACGTGCATCAATGGGAAAGAAATGGGAACAGAATCAATTAATTGAGAATGGAGTTGTATGAATAGGTTTGGTAACCTAATCAAATAAAAAGGGGTTAGTAGTCCAGCTGTGTGCATACTCTAAGCTATGTGCTTGCACTCGTTAGGCGATAAATTCCCATTAGTAGTGGTTACAACGAGGGATAATTCCGTTGTTAGCATTCGGTGATTCGATAATCATCCGTAGAGTAGACCGCTAATACCTGTGGTACCCGAAAATTAAAAGTTGATGAGAATGATGGGATGTTAGAAAAGCATTGCATATCACGTGCATCATCCCACTTACCGAGCTTCGGCTTACCCCGTTGTTATTTGTATGTTATGACGAGTAGTCATTCATCGTAGTACCAATAAGGATGTCCGCTGGATCCTCCAAAATGGCTCGTGGGTGACATAAACCTTAGAAGATTTTATTTTATTTGTAAATTTTGGGGTTGGGGTGTCAAGGAATATTTTGATGGTGTTGTAAATAAATTTTATAATTTCTTCCACCGTATTGTTAATATTATGTAAATTATTTTATAGTGTTCATAGTATGATAAATACTTAACGTATGAGCACGTACGTGTTTAATGTTAATTCAAAGACCGGTCATGTCGGCGTGATGCGCCTCGCCGAGTTACTCCTATTTGGATAATAAATAGTGAACCGGGGTAGGGGCGTCACATAGTTATAATTATTTTTTAGTGATACTAGACTTAGGTTGGTTTGTTCTAAAAGACAATTCAATAATCGATTAAAAGCTAGACTTATTTTGATACTAAATTAATTCTAAAAATCATAAACTTAGTATTAGTTGATATTGTAAAACTAGTTTGATGAGAATATTTCACTACCTGTAAATATCAAAAAAAATATAATAATAACTTTTGTCGGTAATATAAAGGATGTTTGAATGAAACATTAACCATAAGATTTGAGTTTTTTTTGGTAAAAATCATACTCAATTTTCAAATTTTACGTAGTATCAGAATTTTAAAGAAGACCCAATAAAAAAAAATGATAGAGTCTAAACTACTTGATACATCCTAAAAGCCAATCAAAAAAATTCTACAATCCAAGTTACTTGATAGATTCTAAAAAAGGTGAGGGAGAGTGCTTACAATAGGAAGATATTTCTCATCGAGTTTGAAATTCAATTTGCATAACAAAAAAAATACTATAGGGTTAATTCAATTCAATTTGTATTCCCTATAGCTTTAAGTCTTTGATATGAAAATAATTTCTGCGTTAGCTAGCCCTTGTTCGTTAAGGTTTGATTCTTTCATTTTTTAAAAACAAGGGTCAGATTTTGCTTTCATGATATATGGCTATCAAGTAGAATATCATCTTCCATTTCTTATGAATTGTAGCTAACAGTTGCAAGGAAATAAAATTGTCTAAAAGCTGAAGTGATAAAAATGTATTTAAAAAAAAAGTCAACTTGGAATTCAATTTCTGCTGCTTGCCTGTACCTAGTGCCATGATCTAGAAAGTCAACTTGAAGATGGGATAGGAATTCAATGTCTCAACTTGAATTCAAGTTTAAAGAGAATTCTGAGAAAGATCTTGGTCTTGGGCATGATCCTTATAATTTAATTTATCTAGTAGGTTAGAGTAATTAATTTATGATCAAGTCCATGAATTTTCCAGTTGTAGTGTTAAACCATTGAAATTTATAATCCCAACTTAATATATAATATAAAATATATAATAAATAATAAAAGACACAAGTAGAGGGTAAACTATTGAAGAGATTATAATGCTCCTCTTTATTACTCCATTTGTTTTAAAAAAAATGTAATTTTTAATTTTTTTACACGTATTAAAAAAAATTATATCTTCTATTTCTTTTTTTATGGAGTAATTATTGACTTCTTAAATAATATAAAATTTCTCTAATGTGTCATTATTTATATCTTATATCTATATTTTTAAAAGATGACACTTCCTTAACCAACAAATTGTTGGATCGGCGGTAATTAAGCGAACTAATCTCTATAAGGTGAATTTTTTATTAATATGTAATATTTGAATTTTGAAATTATATTTATTGAGAAGAGTTAAACTTTGTCATTCATATTTTCTTAATTATTACCTTTAATTAAGAGTATTTGGTAAAATATATAACTTAAATACTTTGATCAAAGCATCATATATATATATAACAGAAGTAGCATTGTTTTTTAAATTCTATTATTTTGTTCATCATGCTTATTTATACAAGGTTGTAAGGCTTGAAAAGTGTGCATGATTCATAAAGCCTGGCAGGAAGAGTTCAAAACAGTGCGTGGACAGGACCCAACTATATTAGTTTAATCTTTAAAAGGTGGAGGGTTTTACTAATTGTTGTTTCCAGGAAATTATTACACAGACTAGGTTCTTTTGGGACAAAATTATCTGATTTATTGGTACAGTAAATCCTGTAATAATTTCTAACCACGGGGAGTTTGTAATGTAGTACAACAGAGCGTGGCAAAACATGCAAAACAAAGGTAAAAAAGATTCAGCCATTTCACTCCTTTGATCAATTTGCTAATCTACAAGCTAAGCCAATTGTTTTCGTGGTTTATTTCAATAGCTGCTGGTCTATCTTGATTTGGGATGATAGGCTGATCAACATTTTGTACTTCCTGTCGATCAGGTGGTTCTGCATTCGGATTCCGATCATCACCTGGGTCTGCAGGTGGAGGATCTCCAGGGATAGCTATGTGGTTTGGGTTCGGTTCACTCTACATCTAAACACGAGTAAATTATAAATTAGTTTCTTTAGTTTTGAAAACCGAATTAATTTATTTATTTTTTAAAAAAATAATTTAGTTTTTCATCTATTTTATGTTTTTTCTAATTTATTTTATTTTTATTTTTATTTGAAAAAAATAAATAGATATTACGGAGAAATTGAAGAGAAAAAAATATTTTTTAAATAAAAATATATTAAGTTCAACTTTTCTGCACACCTACTTCTTGTCTGCTAATTGAATCCCAATCTTCTATTTTCTACAATAGCTTAAGATTAGTAACATAACTTTTATAACGAGAAATGATCCAGCGGCAAGAAGTTGTTTTGATTTGATTAAAATTAAAATTCAATTTTCATTATATACAAATCATAATTATTCTTTAGTCAATCTGTCGCTACCCGATGTCGGATGGGACTCTCAAAAAATAAGTTTAATTATTATTTAAGATTAGTTATTTACAAAGTTATTTATAAGTTCAAAGTCGTCACTTACTATTAAGGAATTAAAAATCTAAAATTAGCACTCGGTTCGGAGATTCTTAAGGTAATGAATTGATTACACTTTTGAAAAAATATTTAATCACCCAAAAGTGTTTTTTTTCGAAAAAAGGTACCATGTCTAGTTTAATGCTAAATTTATCTCCTAAAATGTTTTATTTATGTCAAATTATTTTTCGATTTGAAACTTCAATTTTCCAAGTTAAATTAATTTTTTTGGTTTTAGGCGTGGGATTGTATTGAAACGATCGTCGGTCCCCTTCGTCGGACGATATACATTGGTTCAAACATCGGATCCACTTTAAGCTTCGACACAATCGATATGTCGGAGGACATCTTAATTAGAAGTGTTGATTTTTGTAATGACAATCTCTATCAAATAGGAAATTTTATCAAGAATTTTTTTCTTTTTTTTTTTTTAATCAAACGACAGTTCCTCTCGGATAAGAGACTTCGGTGAGAATTTTTTTTTTTTTTTTGGTCAAACGACGGTCCCTATCAGATAGGAGACTTCGTTGAGAATTATTATTATTATTATTATTATGTCAAGCGACAATCCTTATTAGATATGAGACCTTATTAAGATTTTTATTATTATTTTTATTTTGTCTAATCTAATAACTGAAATTAATAAATTCTCAAAAAATGTTTAAATTATCAACTCTAAAATAGTGCAAAAATACAGCAAAAAATAAGAACCATTAGGCTGTATAAAAAATAAATAAATAAAATCAAAATGTTAAAAGAAATCATTTTGGACCCTAAGCCCATTACCCATACCTTATTTCTCTCCTAACCATTCTGTCTAATTCGGCTTCTTTCTCTTTCTTCTTCTTCCTTCTTTTTTTTTTTTTTTTTTTCACTTTTTATGTTTGTTTATTTTTCAGTTACTTCTTCTTTTTTTCTTTTTTCTTTTTTTTTTCTCTCTTTGTGAAGCTAGACCAACTCCAGCTTTTCATCTTATTTGTTTGTTTTTTACGGAGGAAAAGGGAAGGTTCAGTCCAGCCTCTTTCCTCCTCATTTTTTTTTTTAATCGCTAGGCTAGGGCTGGGTTGAAGCCAGCCCAGCCTTCCCTTCATGTGGGTTGGGCTAAGCCCAACCCACTTCTTTCTACTTTTTAAAAAAAAATTGTCGGACTGGACTTCAAGCCCAAAAACAAACCTTGCTTCTCTCATTTTCATTTTTTCCGATCAAAAACTCAAATTTTAGGCTCCTGACCCTTTCTCTCTCTTGTTCTCCGTGCTCTTCATTTTCTCTCTCTATTCATCATTTTCTTCCGAGAATTTAAACCCCCGTTTTGAATCGAAGTATAAATGACTAAGGTCTATTCATTCTATAGAAATAAAATCTATGATCCAAACTTCACAAAACAAATTAGACAGCAACAATTAATGTGACCGACATTGAAGAAAGTGAAAACTGGAAAAAATTATGAAATGAACTAACCTGAATTGCTTATGATGATGAATCCTAGGGTTAATTTCGTGAGGACTGATGATGCGAAGCCAATTTGGAATGCTCGGATAAAGTGCAAAATCCAAGAACTAAAACTAGGTAGTCGATCAAATATTGTGGAGAAACCCAGAAAAAGGATGAACACCAAGAGCAAACTGCCCAGAAAATGCAGCAACCCAGAAGCCCAAGGATGCCTAAACCTAGTGATTTTCAAACCTCTACCCTCGATTTATCTTTCTCTCCAACCAGAAAACCAAAATCCTTATCAAAACAAAAATAAACCCTCTTTAATTTGCCAAGAAAATGAAGAATGTGAACCCAGAAATTGATGAACAAAATGATGAACGGCAGAGCTGCTGCCAAGAAAAAGTCATAATTTAAATAAATCATTTAGTTACAAGATGAAGAAAAAAAATAACTTGACATTTAATAATATAGAAAAAGTCATTTATTGATTTTTAATATATATTTTTTAAGAATAACTAAAAGTTTAATGTTAGTTTTAGAGACTCTTTAGCTCGTAAAAGTATCATTACTGCAGTGGCTAGCTTATGTTCCTTTTGTGTTAATTTGTTGAATTTACAAAACACATTTTGTTACAATACAGTGAAGTTTGGAAATTGTAGTCCCAGGTCGCGGTAGGTTTCTGTTTGGGTGGCCATATCACTCCTTTGATCTTGAAGCAGGATCCATCCCAGTTGATTGCAAATCAGCAAAATACGATCAATGGGCTAATCTACAAGTCAATTATCTTCATGGTTTACTTCAATAGCTGCTGGTCTATCTTGATTTGGGATGATAGGCTGATCAAAATTTCGTACTTCCTCTTGATCAGGTGGTTGTGCATTCGGATTCGGATCATCACCATTGTCTGCGGGTGGAGGATCTCCGGGGTTAGCTATGTGGTTTGGGTTCGGTTCACTTCTATAGCTACAGAAAGCATGGGATTTTAAGTCCTTCTGAATGAAAATTCTAAACAAATCGAGAATTCTCGTCCATGTTGAAGCTTCTGAATCGGAGGGCTGCAGGAGTACTGTTCTGTGCTCGTTAACAAAGATGGCTATGAAAATCATAAGAGCTAAAAAAGAAGCTACTCCAGTGATTAAAAATAATCCCCAAAAACTCTTCAGACTAAGGCTATTAGATGAAACCGAGGTGTCGGAATCTAGACACCTGCTTTTTTTGCCAAACCAAGCATCCTCGATTTCCTTCATTTTATCTCCTTCAGTGAAATTTAGAACTGCTCTTGATACGTCAGCTACAAGAGGAGAACCTTTAGGGAAAACCTGAAACTCAAAGAACAGAACAGACCACCATGAGAAACTATACTTGCATGTACATGAACGATAGAGCCGGAGAAGGAAGAGAACTCACGAAGCCGAAACCGCCTGTTTTAAATGTAGGTTCGACCATAGTATATTTGGAGCAATACTTAGATAGTAGGAGCTTCATATATGGAACTTCATCGAACGCAGCAGCAATGCCACCATTTCCGCTACCTTTGGAGAAAAGCTCGTCGCATTCTTCCAGAGAACTATACACCATAAGCTTGGATTCATCAAAACCTAAGTGTTTCAGGATTCCCAACACAAAAGAGTTCTCTAGGTAGCCCACAAACTCCCCCTTTTGAATGAGCTCATTTACGCTGGAGACTGAAGGCTGGAGCTGCTGAACGGTAAGCATGCTACTTAAGCTGGCGGTGTAGCTTTGAGTTAGAATGAGCACAACGAAACACCATATGGTTACAACTATTCGAGCCAAGTTGCTAACCACTCTCTCCTCTGAAATATAAAGAACATCAATTAGGTATCATAAACATCAAGTCTATGTTGAATTGAAGGGCTTTAAGCCTTTAAACATTTACTATATATGACTAATTAAGTACTACACATTCAAAAGGTGAAGGGAAATAGCCCAATTACTATGTGCAAAAACCATGGTTGAGAAAGAAAACCAGAAGATGGTGCCTGCTTGATGTGAAGGAGGTCCTCGAAAATCTTCATTTATTCTGTGTTCAAGAACCCAAACAACAAATCCAACGAAAACAAAGAAACAAAAGGTTGTGGCCCAAAGGTCCCAAGTCAAAGGCTTCAAGAAAACCCAAGCATTTTTGTTTCTTTCGTCTTTGATTGGAACAATCATCCAGACGCCACTTTCTGTGTAAGGCAACGTAAAATCAACGTACCTGGACCTGTTGGCAGTAATAGTTGTATCTCCGACCACAGCATCGTACTTCTGTTGGTAGTAATGCATTATGTATATATAGGCATGCATGGTGCTAATATTAAAGAAAAATAATCAGAAGTACCTTTAAGTACACTTGATAGACCAGATCATTGTAAGTTCCAGCAGATTTGCCGTTGGGCTTGGCAAAGGGGATGTACTCATAAGTCATGGCATAAGGTAATTCTTCAACTACGGCATCAAAAATAGCTATGCTGTATCCTGTGACTGTTGTCATATTGGAACTATTATCTCTTGTCACCTTCACAAATCCATCGAAACCATTGCTGGGTACTCCTATCTGCAACTTCTTCCCGTTTGTAGGAATCTCCCAGCCCTTGGGAATAGAAGTTGAATCCCCTGCCCATATAATAGTGGCAAGACTGGACTTGGAAGTAGAGTAAGTACTGGTATTTGTTTTCCGCTTATTAAGGTTCCTTCCGAGTCCATTTCTTGAAGTCCAAAATCCAATCCCCCTTGCTCCATTTTCATTCATATTAACTATTTGGAAAGCCAATGATTGTAGCTGCCCATTAATGAAGCGGAAATCTCCTGTGAGACCTTCAAAACTAGTTTTTGATAATTCTCTGAGAAGGCTTGGACCATTTTGAGAGACCCCGAAATTTTCAAGATCGGTTGATGAATTGTTAGAAACATTTGCCTTTCGAAATCCTAAGTTTGCTGTACCAGCTTTCTCAATTGCCATGGCCAATGCTATTGTAGCATCATAGGCTTGTGGTTCATAAATGTTAAACTCAGCATCAACCATGTCTGAATTATCTTGTTGGAATTTCCTTTTCCACCGAAACCGAAAATTTCCTAGCTCCATTGTTTTTGGAACATAAGGCTTAACACCCAATACTCCCTGCATAGCATCAATGACAACAGGATCTGGTGAACTTGAGAGAGCTGCGGTCAGCCAATCAGTCATGATCCACACATAGCCTTCACTCATCATCCCAATCTCTTTAGCTTTGACAAAAAGCCGAGCGCCAAGAGATGGAAACATGTGCACAATGAAAACTCTAGTTTGCATTGTCATCAACTTGTAAAGCTCTTCAACAATTTGATCATTAGTAGCTGAAGGAGAAATGACACTGCGGTAGGGAACACGAGCATCAACTTCTTGCAAAGCATCAGTCAAATAAGGTATGATTCCCTCTCCACAGTCGTCCTCGACATAGATAGGTACTGCTTCTCTCCATCCAAAGGCTTGAACCAATGCACAAATGGATTTGACTTGACTTGAGTCATTTTGCGTAGCTCGGAAAAAATAGGAACTCCTGATGGAAGTAAGAGAAGGACTCGATGCAGAAAATGATATAATGGGCACCTGAGCTTTTTCTCCAAGGCCAATAACAAAGTTTGCTTGCGTTGATGTTGTTGGCCCTATAATTGCTTGCACTTCCACATTTTCTATCAAATCCAGGGCTGCATTACGCAAAGAATAGATGAAATATATATAGGATTATAATAAGTTTGTTTATGATTCAAGATTAATGTCATGGAAAAGACTAGCTAAACTCCTATAACGTTAACAAAGCTAATAAAACTTTAATGTTAAGCTCATATTTCCTTAATATCTCTTTTTCTATCTTTCTTTTTCTTTATTTTTTCGTATAAGTTGTATTCAATACTCAATTTAGTATATTTTTTTCATTCGATAATTCATATCCAGTTATTTTTCTTTTTAATTACAAGCAGTAGTTTAACCTAACTTAGGGAGAAAAGAAATTCTAGTTCAAAGTCAAATGTTCTGCGTTTTTTACAGTAAAACAAAACTGACCGACGACCATAAATTAGCCATAAATTTTTGCATGACTTTAAGTCATCTAAAACTTTATGCCTAGTTTGTTTGTATTTGGGACGTAGACCATAAATTATGGTCTGTGATTAACACGTAAAATTATATATATATATATAATTTTACGTATTAATCATAGATCATAAGGATGAAAAATAAATGATGTCATAATAAAGAGTTTGAAACGAAAAAAATAAAAAATAAAGAGTTTTGATAAAAAAAAAAAAAAATTATATAGATCTAAATATGAGAAAAAAATCATTCTTAAATTTTATCCATTAATTTCTCTTCCTGAGATTGAGACATTTTAATGAAAAATTTAAATTTGTTTTATATTATCTATTTTATGGATGTCCTTGTGTTTGAAAAATGCTACTTTTTATAATGCTTCCAGGAATTATATTTTGTAAATGGCAACTCATTACAGTATTAAGATTTTCACAAATGCATTAATTCCAAAGATTAAGCTAGATGGCCCAACAATATAGCAAAAAGATAAATGATGAAAAGAAAAAACCTGCTGAAGCTGCTCCAACAATATCTTTCTTGGAGTCTCTGGTGGTCAGTAGCAGCCTTGTTTTGTAGTGACCATGAGTGGCATAGAAGTCTGAGATGGCCATGTTGATGCAACTCAACCCTATCTTGCCACCCAAATCGTCCAAGTCAAGAACCACTCCAACGTTCACTGGGATAAACGTTGTGTTTTGAGCGATTGCCATTTCTATGAAGAAAATAATGTGAAGAGAGAGAAAAGAAGAGAGAGAGAAAACGTGTTTTGTAGGGTTTTTCCTCATTTTTTTGCCCATTGAGATGTGGTTTTTTTCCCTATACAGTAGGACTTGGCATGTGGACTTGAAGCATGGAAGAAGAAATTAGAACAGTGTGCGTGGGAAGGGGGGCAACCAACCTTATTCTTTGAAATGGTGAAAAAAATTGGACTAAGCCAAACAAGTACTTCAAATACTGAGGCAAAAAGAACTTCAAAGACGACGCTAATTAACTGTAAGAATCTCTTCTAAGTCCACAAGGGAAGAGCATGACACCATATCTCACTTTCCAGGAAATTAACATCCTGTCCTATTGTTATAGAAAAAAACTGCAAAGTCAATGCCTTGCTACCTCTTAGTCCAATAGTTGCGATCAGTGCCAGCTTAATGGCCTATGCCTAGGGCCTCGTAAAAAGGAAGACCTCAATTAAAATTTTATGCTAAATCTACATCTTAGAAGAATGAGATAAATTAAAAGCTGCAGTCTTCATTTTTACTCATAGAAAAATTTCAAAAAAATATTTGTGAGTGAAACAATTTTTAGATCTCTAAATTTTTTTATTATATTCTTTTCTTTCTCGAAACAATCAAGGATCTCTTACAAAACCTTTTTCTAATTAGTTTAACGAGAAAAATCGAAGGTAATTTTTTAATTTATGCAAATAAAATTATATATATAAATCATATAATTTTTTTTTCTCAAATTTCGTTTTATTTTCTCGGGTGATTCTCTCCGGGTTTACTTGATTAGGTGTGGCAAGTAAATATAATCGAGTGCCAAAGTTTCTTATTCTTTCTATAATTATATTTTAATTTTATTATTTGAATAAAATGTCTACTAGAAAGTATAAATTTGGATATGAAAAACGTAAGAAAAAAAGAAAGGTAGAAGAACTAATTCGATCCCAAAAAGGTACACGTGATAAATTTGTTACTAATATTAAACCTCAAATACTAGAAGAACAAGATAAAGATTTAAATGAAAATGTAGTTGAAAATTGTGAAGAAAAATTTGAAGATAACAATTCAAATTCACCAAAAAGTAATGATGAAAATTTAGAAGATGATATTTCAATCAATAAAAGTGAAAATATTAATGATGAAGATGCAACAATAATTAAAAATATTTACGATCCGGCACAATGGAAAAATTTAGACTCAAAAATGATTGATTTATTAGTTGCGAAAGGTCCAATTAGAGAAATTTTAGATTTTCCAAGAGATAAAAACTCTAGATATTTTTCTACAGTTCATTATATTCGAAAATTACCAAATGGAGAAAAACATGATAGAAAATAGCTAGTATATTCAAAAGAGTTAGATAAAGTGTTTGTTATTGTTGTAAATTATTTAGTTTGAAATCAAATATTCAATTAGCAAATGAAGGGTGTGGAGATTGGAAAAATCTTAGTGCCAAACTTAAAAGTTATGAGACAAGTAATGAACATGTTATTAATATGAACATTTAGGTTGATGCTCGGATGAGAAATTATAACTATGAAAATGAAAATACTATTTGCCGTACTAAATTTTATAAAAAAGGTAAATTCTTTTCCAAATGCATGGATAGCATATAGAATACTATTAACTATCTTTATTACTCGTAGCTTAGGCTGAAAGAAGTTTTTCAAAATTAAAATTAATAAAATCTTATTTACATTCAACTATGTCACAAAAAAGATTAAGTAATTTGACTATATTATCAATTGAAAAAGATTTGTTTTGTAAACTTGAATACAAAAATTTAATTAGAGATTTTGCATCTCGGAAAGTAAAATAAATAAATTTTGAATAATGTTTAATATTTATTTATTTTAAGAAAGAGTCTCTAAAATATTATTTTACTTAAAGATCATATATATTATAAAGCCGGTTTTGCTTGACACATAAACATAAGATTCAGATCGTCTCGGTGCGCAAACGCCATGGCCTCATCGAAGATACCCTTATCGTTAAAACCAAACAAAAAGTAATCTTATGAATGTAATCGGCAGGGTTCGGTTCTCGTTTCCTGCAGCCAGATATCTCTGTTATCAGAGTTTCGATTCTTTCGTTTTTCGTTAGAGGGTCAAATTTTCTCTTCAGCATATAGCTAGAGGCTGGAAATGATTGGCTATGAATGGTTGTGCAGGGCTTCTGCTTAAGTTGATAGTAGGAAATGAAAAACATCTTTCAACAGGAAAAAAGTAAGAAACTTTCTAGGTATAAAACTTAGATAACTGAAACTTGAAATCGTTCTAATTACAGTGGTTCCTGCAGTGTTGATGCTTCAGCTTCCGTACAATGCTAATGGTCATCGCAGCCACTAGATGTGCTATTTCATCCAGTGATTCCAGAAGCCATCGACATTGTACCGCTACTCAAATCATCTGCATTCTAGACTTACCCCTGATTACAATTACTTGACAACGCTACAATACCTACTGGTGTCACAAGTTTTAAAGCAATCAATGTTGTGAACTCCATATCAATTACTTTCATGGTCTACTCTTAAAGCTGTTGGCCTCTCTTGATTAGCGCTGTTAAGCTGATCAATATTTATTACCAACTCTTCAGGTGCTTGCCTATTTGGACTTGAATCACACTCTCCAGGAAATTCTGTGTGAACTGAACAGGCCGTTGGAGTTTGCTCACCCATACTAGGCAGATTAATGCCACTTCTGTCTTTCAGTTCATTTTCTCTGAATGTATGAGATGTTTGGTCCCTTTGATTGAAAATTACAAACAAGTTTTGTAGTCTACTCCATATTGAAGCTCTGGAATCAGAAGGCATCAAGACTCTCCTTTCCCGATAAACAAACTCAACTATGAAGATTAGGAGAGATGAAAGTGAAGCTATTCCGACAATTAAAAATAATCCCCAGAAACTCTTGAGGCTAAGGCTATTTGACGAAATTGAGGTGCTGGAAACTGGACAAGTGCTTTGTTTCCCAAACCATGCGTCCTCGATTTCCTTCATTCTATCTCCTTCGGTAACGTTTAGAATTGCCCTTGATACTTCAGGTACTAGAGCAGAACCTTTAGGGAAGGCCTGAAAGTCACAAAAGGAAAGTATCTGTACATGAAACTCTGCATTTCCAGAAGACAGAAAAATGGAGATAGAGAAGTGAACTTACAAAGGCAAAACCAGCCGTTTTAAATGTAGGATCAATCATGGTATATTTAGAGCAATACTTTGACAAAAAGAGCTCCATATATGGCACTTCATCAAAAGCAGCTGCAATACCGCCATTTCCACTTCCTTTGGAGAAAAGTTCTTCGCATTCTTCAGTTGAATTGTACATCAAAAGCTTCGACTTGTCAAAACCCAACCCTAACAAGATTCCCGGAACAAAAGAACCTTCCTGGTATCCCACATACTCCCCCTTCTTAATGAGCTCATTTACATCAGTTACTTTAGGCTGTAACTTCTGGACCGTAAGTAGGCTTGTTAAACTGGCTGTATAACTCTGTGTTAAAATCAGCACAACAAAACACCATATGATAACCACTACTCTAGACAGGTTGCTAACCACTCTCTCCCCTGCAAGTATAGTTCAAAGTGGGGCATAAGTGAAACATAAACACGGAGTCAATTTGGTGTTTGAGAGATCAGTCACATATATGTTAAAGAGTAGAAGACAATAAATTTAAAAGAGGAATGGAAATTACGCTGAACAAAAACCATAGTTGAGAAGGAAAACCAGAAGCTAGTGCCAACATGATGTGAAGGAGGGCCTCGAAAATCTTCATTTATTCTATGTTCCAGAACCCAGACAACAAATCCAATGAAAATAAAGAAACAAAAACTTGTGAACCAAAGGTCCCATGTCAAAGGCCTCAAGAAAACCCATGCATTTTTGTTATTGTTGTCTACAAAAGGAACAATCATGGAGACACCACTTTCCGTGTAAGGGAAGGTAAAATCGACGTACAAGGACCTGTTGAAGACAATAGTTGTATCCCCCACCACAGCATCATAATTCTGTTGGTGGTAGCCAAAAATGCAAAACAAAAAACCAATTTATGCCTAAGCATGTTTCAGATTTGATATTGAGCATATTGTACCTATAAGTAGACAAAATGATAAAAGAAAGTTTTACCTGTAAGTAAACTTGATAGATCAGGCTGTCATAATTTCCAGCAGGTCCGCCATCAGGGTTGGCAAAGGGGATGAACTCATAAGGCAGGGCATAAGGCAATGACCCCACTACAGCTTCAAAAACATCTATGCTAAATCCCTTTACTGTCGTGGTGTTAGTGCTGGGATCTCTTGTCACTGACACAAACTGACTGAAGCCATCCTTTACTGGCACTCCTATTTTCAACTTCTTCCCATTTGAGGGAATCTCCCAACCCTTGGGAACAGCAGTGTTATCACCTGGCCATATTACAGTTGAAAAACTGTGAATAGAAAACGAATTCACTCTTGTATTTGCTGTTGAATTCAATTTTTTCACAAGTCCTTTTGTTGGTGTCCAAAATCCAACCCCTCTTCCTCCATCGCCATTCACATTAACTATCTGGAAAGCTGATGGTTGCAACTGCTCATTAACAAAAACCAAATATCCTGCAAGACCTTTGAAACTAGTGTTTGTTAATGCTTGAATAATGTTTGGACCATTTAGAGAGATGCCAAGATTTGCAAGATCCGTTGATGAATTGCTAGAAACATTTGCCTTTTGGAAGCCAAAGTTTGTAGTTCCAGCTTTCTCAACTGCCAAGGCCAACGCCGTCGCAGCATCATAGGCCCATAGTCCATAAATGTTCAAGTCAGCATCAACATTATCTGGATTATCTTGCTGAAATTTCCTTTTCCAACGAACTCGAAAATTTTCGAGCTCTTTTGTTCTTGACACATAAGGTTTAACCCCCAATACCCCTTGCATTGTATCAGTGACAGAATGATTAGGTGAACTCAACAAATCAGCTGTCAGACCATCAGTCACGATCCAAACATAGCCTTCACTCATCATTCCAATCTCTTTTGCTTTGGCAAAAAGCCGAGTGCCAAGAGAGCGATACATGTGCACAATGAAAACTCTAGTTTGCATTGTCATCAGCTTGTAAAGCTCCTCGACAATTTGATCATCAGTGGCTGATAGAGAAATGACACTCTGATAGGGGACACGAGCATCAACTGCTTGCAAAGCATCAGTCAAATACGGTATGATTCCCTCTCCATATTCATTGTCGATGTAGATGGGTACTGCTGCTCTCCATCCAAAGGCTTGAACTAATGCAGCTATGGCATTCACTTGAGTTGAGTCATTTTGTGTAGCCCGAAAAAAATATGGACTCCTGATTGAAGTAAGAGACGGACTTGATGCAGAAAATGATATTATGGGCACCTGAGCTTTTTCTCCAAGGTCAATAACAAAATTGGCTTGCATTGATGTTGTTGGCCCTATGATTGCTTGCACTTCCACATTTTTTATCAAATCCAGGGCTGTGTTTTGGAAGGGGATAAGAAAAAAAGTTACAATAGATTTCTTGTTAACATAATCAGTAAAAACTAGCGGCATTATGTCGTGCTTTATATCAGATAAGAATTTTGATGACAAGAATATAGTGGCTATGCAACAAAGAAAGAGCAATGGATCACACTCTGTTATTGGTGATATGCAAGATAATTCAAATATCAAGCAGGGTTTGATTGCAATCATTTCTCAGTCCCTAGAATATCTTCTCCTGCCTCTCCTCTTAAAGCAGCAAACACTTTTCCTGCTTCCATCCTTGAACTCAGTAAAAGCTACACTCATCCACACAAGTTATCCATGCTGCTGTAGTTATTGCTTATTTTCCTACACTATTACTCCAAATTTGAGCAGATATGAACCAAAGTAGTATTTTCCTTTTCTTTTCTTTTTTTCTTTTTTGTTTTCTATTTTTAACTTGAGGCCAAAAGGTTTATCAATCAAAACTGTGTTTTAATTTGAGGGAAAACTGGCTGACTGACTAGCAGATATTCATAATGCAAGAACAACTGATTCTATATACAACCACCTAACTTTCTTATACATTAACGAGTAACTACATTAATGTCATTCGAGGATGATTCAAATATGATGCAATGATTGCCATAGCAGTCCTAAACAATTGAAATCTGAAGTGCAGAACATTTATACATAAAGGAATAGTGTATGTAAGGCCATTAATTACGTCAGAGATGGCAGGCTATAGCAAGTGAAACAATTTAGTAAACAAGTTGCATCCTAAGTTATTAATCCAAACAAAAATAGTAAACAAGTGATTAGCTATGAAGTGCCCATCAATAGCTTATATGTAAAAGAGAAATGGCAGAGTATGCTTGCTGTACTAGCACGTTAAACAACTTATTCAATGAGAACGTGGCATCTTCATTAGGGAAAATAGTTTTCAAAATCATGTAAGGTTGAGTTTTACAACTAATATGGTTTTGAATTATATACACTAACCACAAATTTTCAAACAAAGATTTTGTATTATGTCTTTCCCTTAATTTGGTCGATGGTCTCTGTGCATCAGAGTGATGAAGTACCAAGGTGACCAAATCTAACTCCTATAGTGTGAAGTTGAAAGTCTCTAGTCTACAATATCACAACACAAACGATAGACTACAGCCTACATAGGTGACTTGTAAAAACAACTAGCCGCGGCTCATGAAGACTTATTGGTTTTCACCTGGATTCCTATCATCAAACCAAGAGAAGTTGCAGGTTCATAATCTCCACAATTAAATTGATGCACAAGAAGGTTAATTATCAGTCAGAAAACGATACTAAGTAATGATTGAAAATTAGAGCATGGTGCAGATAAAATAAGGATAGAGGGTCAGAGGGAACCTGCTGCAGCTGCACCAACAACATCTCTCTTGGAGTCCCTGATATGGAGGACCAGTCTGGTTTTGTAGTCTCCATGAGTGGCATAGAAGTCTGAGAGGGCCATGTTGATGCAACTCAACCCAATACTTCCATACAAAACATCATTCAAGTCAAGAACCACGCCAACATTCACAGGTATAGATGTCGTGTTTTGGGCCACCCCCATTCCTATGAAAAAAATCTTCAAAGAGAGAAAGAAAAAGAAAGATCGAACAGGATTTAAAGGGTTTTTTCTCATCTTGCTGTATGCCTATGAGGCAACTCTAGTTTTTCTTCTCTCTCTTTTTGATAAAAGGTGAGATGAAAAGGGAGAATAACAAACTTCAAGTGCAAAATATATAGCACCAGAAAACCAGCAAACTAGTCCGAAAGAAAATGACGAGAGCTGATGAACACGGTGAAAAACAACAACCATGAGGAAGCTAAGATACAATGTGCATTAAGCTTCAAAGGAAAGGTCTCTTATTTATGAGGGTATGGGGTCGAATGATGTGTATACCTAAAGCTTAGATGAAGAGTTTAGACTAATGCATGAAAATCTCTCTTATTTTAAACAAAGGAAAGATTCCCTAACTGTCAAAGGAAATTTCATGCTTCGATTGAATATAGCAAATCACATTAATAAATCAGATGTCCTATATTAGCATGGTGCAACTGAGAATAAATGGCTAAACTATTGAAACTATCATTAGATTCTAAAAATAGATGGTGAATAGATTTTCTAAGGACAGTTGCTTCTGCACAGCAGCAGTAATCTAGTCCATGTGTCAGAATCACACGCGATGGACCCCGATACCGTCCGTGCACACGATTTGCATGGACTGTCCAGATTGCAAGTGTACAATAGTCGTTATTGTCCATAACATTTTCCATATAGCAAAACATAGAATACTAGCATATTTTGGCCTTTAGGTCAACAATCCAGAAGTGAATCTCATTCACACTGAATATAGAACAGGCTAAGAGAATATAAAAGATAAATCTCTCTGTCACATTAGTTAACAAGTAAAATACATGCATGTAGCTAGCACAGCTCTAATAATGAATAGTTGTCCCTGAGTCATCATCGTTTACCTGGGCTGAATCAAAACACGAGGTTAATGACCATAGAATACTCAAGCTTGTGATTACATTAGCATCACATTTGCTATTGCAGCCAGAAAAGGAGAGATTGGGACCAAAATATAATCTTACACTTGAATCTTAATCCAATCTAATTAAAAATCATTGCTTTGTCATCAAATGAAAACTTGGAACCCGTTCATGGCTTAGAGTCTACCTTTGAATCTTTTTCTGGAAACAGCCATCAAGCATTGCATGCCCTGTGTTCTAATATTCAAGACAAGGTTTGCATCAGTTAGTCATCTATTTTACTTTCTTAATGAGATTAGACTACGCAAATGCAGCAAATCTATTTAACCATGCTCTTTAGAGGAAGCATCCTTTGTTATATCACAAAATTTGTTTTCAAGGAACATCGTTATCTCAAGTTCAAATAGTTCCCATATTTCAGCAGCCACTTGTTCTCTAGGGTTGGTTCTTTCATTTGTAGTCAGAGGTAAGGAATATTATCTTCCATTTCTTGTGAACCGTAGCTGATGGTTGCAAGCAAGATGAGTCTAGAAATGTATAAAAATATCAACTTGGATTTTAAATCCTTTTGCGTACGTGCACCCGATGCATGGCAAGTTGACTTCTGATCCAGCCAGTCACATAGGAGAGTTTGTGATTCAAAGTCTAAACTTGAATTCAATTTTTCTTGATGACCTTTAACATTAGACTTGTAATTTAATTTAGCTAGTTGGTTACAGAGAATTAAAATTCATTGATTTACCTCCCAAGGCTTTGACCAGAGTGTCCAGTTATAAAAGAATTATAGTCCCTACTGTTGACTGTTTCAAGGGAAACTTCAGGAGAAGGAAAAGGCAATTTTCATGTCATTACTTTATTCCTTACAAAAACAAAATACTATATTTACCAAATTTTCTTTCGAAATTCTGAAAACTAATCTCCACCCTTACAGGAAACGAACTGAGAATCGCCATCCATGGTAGAAATAGCATCATACTCAATTTGTGGAGTTTGTGGTTGGCTATGAAATGGGAAAAGTCTTAGATAACATGGTAGCAACTAGAAGGCTAAAAACTTACAGGGAGTAAATAAAACTCCTAAATAAGTAATTGAGGGGAATTACGCATGCTTCTCTAAAATATTGTGGAGTTACAGGCATCATCCGAAAGTTTTTATGTTTGACTGGAACCCCCTCATGTTTCCAACCCTTTTAACTACAAAATTTGACAAAAACCTCAGGTGGGTTGGAAACATGAGGGGGTTCTGTCAAACATAAAAACTTTCGGATAGCGCTTGTAATTCCAACATACTTAGGGAAAGTCTGCAAATTACCCTTTTACAAAGATCGGACCTGAATAGCATCGACCAGCAAGGAAGAAACCACGAAAATCCCATATAGGTACAGAGATGATCATCTAGCACCAGCAGTGATGCTATCATGAAGATACAGACATGTATATGGACTTGACATACAAGACAAAGTTCACTAACTTATTCTAAAAATCCAGCCCAAATCACTCTTCTCTTGAAGGAGGATCCACCCCAGTTGATGGGCTATCAGCAAAATACTCCTGGTGCTTCACGTTTACACCATTCTGCTCATTCAATTATAACAAAGAATCACCATCATTAGATAAGCAAAACAGAAAATGTAATGGGAAGTGGGAACTGATTTTAGGTATAGCCTTAGTAGTTAGCATCACAATTTTCTCAAGCAAATGAAGCCAATTCTATGACTATCCCTTGCACAGTTATCACATGCACAATTCACATACAATATCATAAAAAATATTTCTCAGCTTTTGTGCACTATCATGCACAAGTTCGGCGAAATAAAATATACAGCAGAACAAGGGAAACTTATCTACCACTAAAACAATCACGTTAATGAACCAGGTTGAAGAAAATCTAACCAGTAAATAGCCTTTATCACTCTAATTCAAGTCCTAGAGGAAAATAAGGATCAAGCAGCACAATAAACCGACTGCATATTTCTATTAGACACAATTCTCATTTCTTTTCTTTTTTTTTTGCCTCCTTGAAAGAGTATTGTTGTTTGTTACAAGTGTCATAACAGTATAGCCTGCATAAGAGGCCGTACATTAACGAGCAATGAGAGAAGATACTTGTTCTTTGTTGGCTGGTCAAAGATTCTCATTATATTGATATCATACTAAGTGGGCCATTTTAATAAAGTTTTTGAGAGCTTCCAACTCTCATGAATCTCCAAGCAATCAATGACAATGTTCATCAATTTTCAGGTTGAATTTAACTGAAAATTTTTCATTGCTGGCAGAAAACAAGTATCCTGAGATATTAGGAAATACACCAAAATTACAGCAAGGGCTAACAGAGAAATTAGGTCCACCTAAACAAAGAACGAAATGGAACTCAAAATTACAGTAAGGGCTAACACAGAAATTAGCCCACCTACACAAAGAATGAAATGGAACGTTTATCATGCTTACCTCACGCAGTGCCTTCGACAGATCCTCCATTGTCAAGATCAGGCGCTTCTCCTGTTATCACAAAAAGTTAAGGCCAGTTACAAAAACAATCTACATAAATGAACATAAGATTGCAATGGGACTACTTTAGCACCTTTTGCTGCTTGTCCCTTTTGTCTTTAACTACTGACGCCTGTCGTGCCTTGCATTGCCTACAGCATCAATGCATAACATAAATAATACTATCACTAGACATTCTTGCTTCAAATCTGTGAAACAATCCCTTTTGTGAACACAAAGAAATTTTACTATTTGTTTAACCTACAGTCCAGAAACTTAATCAGCACAAGCAAAAAAAAAGACAACACATTTACTTTCCATTCTTTTTATACAACAAAGCACATGTACAACAGCTTCTAGAAACAATTTAACATAGAAATCAAATATAGCACGTTGGATCAAATCAAGAATCACAGAATACAGCAAATAACTTGCATGACATTTCCCCCAAACAAATACAACAATAACGAGTAGTTCTACACAGAATCATTAAAATTCTGAAATCAATATACAGTTGCCCCCATCTTTAACTCCAACCCTAAATCCCTGATCGTCCTCTTTGAAACCCTAAATTTCACACTTTCGCATATATTAACTAAAAGCAAAGCCTTCAACACCCCCGCCCATGTTGCTAAAATTCATTAAAATCAAAAACAAAAACGCTGAAAAGATACATACTGAAGAGCGTCAGTTGCAACCTCTGCAACAAACTTCTGCGTCGCAACAGCTACTAATCTAACCCTGCAAAAAAAAAAATCAAAAAAAAAAAATAAACCTCAAACACTAAAATAAACCACATTAATCAAAACATAACCCATAATTTTAGATTCAAAAACAAACCCATTTTAGCAACAGCAATAAGCAATCAATTTGCGTGGTTTTTTTAACAAAAAGTAAAGGGTACCTACAATCTGACATCAGGACATTGAAACCCACTTTTAGCCAAATAATGCTCCACTAATTCATCGGGAATCTGCAGCAAAAACATCACAATTTTACTAATTACAAATGATTAACAAAAAAAGGTAATTTAAGCTCCAAAAAGATGGATTTTTTTAGAGAGAACAGAAGAGGTTTACAGTGGGAGTGTAATCCATTAAAGAAGCGAGAAATTCAGTGAGAGCAGCATCATCATCGTGTCTTGCTTCACTTGATTGCTGCTGCTGGCTGTTACTGCTGCTTGTGTTGTTGTGGTTCATTGTTCTCTCTGTTTCCCGAATTTTTTTGCCTTTTTTTTCTTTTTCTCTTTGATCTTTTATACGACTTTCTAGACGTCAAGCTCTCTGGTTTACCGTTAAATTTCCCAAATTAATCTTTCCTTCTTTCTTTCTTTCTTTTTTTTTTTTGTCGTTCTTACCAATATTGACTTTTTAGTTTTTACAGCATATTATTTACTTTTACTGTGGTAAGTGGGTCCACTGCACGTATTGTTTTGGAGTTCAATTTCAGAGGACGAGTTTGGCATAACGGTAAGTAAATTATAAAGTAGTCCCTCTAGTTTTGAAAAATGAATTAATTACTCCCTTCTTGTTTCAAAAACTGATCATTTAGTTTTTTTTTTTCATCCTTCTTATATTTTTTTCTAATTTGTTTTGTTTCTTTAAAAAAAAAATTAAATACATAGATATTATAAAAAAAATTAATGAGAAAAAAATATATTTTTTAAACAAAATAATATTAAATTAAGCACGAACAACTAAAAAAAGACAAAATAATTACTTTTGAAACCTTCTTTAATAAAAGAATTCTTCAAAAAGATATTTTTTTCCCTCTTTGGGTACCAAATGGCAAATTGGCAGAATAAATTATAAATTAGCTTTTTTAATTATATGAAATCTTGTTAGAAAAAGAGTAGAACTAAAATATTTTCCCAATGCTATCATCTTGAAAAAAAACAAATTACTTTATCTAAGATGAGCCTTTTTGAGGAATAAATTTTTTCATAAAGCTAAGTAGCATCCAAGGACGCTTTGTTAAAAGCATTTAAGATGATAATTATTATTAACGTAGAATTGTTAATTAATTAGATCTTGACTATCCAAATCTAATCGGACCCTTATTTAATTAAATGAATTTAGTATATAATTTTTATAATTCGAATTCATTAAGTTTTTTACATTATTAAATTGATCAAATATGAATCCATTTTCCATTTTACTTTTACTTTAATTAATTTCAATAATAATCCGATTCAAAATTAATGTTAATATTATTTTCAATAAACGTGATATTTAAAAACATAAAAATAACTAAATATGAAAAATGAGAAAAACAAATATGGGACAAGATTTTTAGGGTTTATTTTCTCTAAATGCTCTACACTTACGGTTTTTTCTTTACATTATAGTTAGTCTTTAGAATAGTCACATGATAATTTTTTCATCATTTTTCAAATCTTAAATTAATTTTGCCAAAAATCCTTTATACATATATAACAATTAACAATTTAATGAGTTGTCCTGTTAACTCGTAGAATTTTACATAATTTCTCTCAATTCAATTCGATGTCACTTGTAGAATTTCCCACTCCTGGTGTCAACAAAATTTGCTTAAGAGCTTCATCCTACATCAAAGAACCTGCGGAATTTCAAGGAACACAGTCCAAGTACTCTGCGAAAAGATCATCAAAAAAGTGATAATGCGATTAAATCATCCAAGAACTGATCCATCTAGCACTAAGAACTGATAAAATTATTCTGTGATTTCAATTTTTTATTTCATCAGATATATAGCAATGGCCCCTTTTCGTTTCGTCCAGACACTACAAGGACAAGTCCCACAGCTAGCATTTTGAGAACTCACAGAGAAGAAAACAAATCAAATCTCGATATTGATGGATGGACTCTATATTTTGGTGAATAGACAAAAAAAGAAAGAGACATCAACAAATCTATGCTGCCCTTTGCTGGCTATAACGCATTATTCCGTAAACATCCACAACGCCCGGAGGGAAAACTGGATCGGTTGCTGCCCTTACCGCAACTTTTGCCACAGCAGTAACTTTGACAGGGGAGTAAACAAGGGCCCGACAAGGGGAATCTGTTTGAGTGGTTTTGCATGTTGAAGAACCTGAAGTAGGATTGCAATTAATAAATTACAAAGAACCTCCAGATAACAGCATTAAACAACAGCATTAAACAAATCATCCACATTCCATTTTCAAGAATTTCCCATGTAAACGATAGGATGAGAACAGAACACTCCTCAAAACTTAATTTCTGGCAACCATAATTTTACCATGCTCCTAAAAGATAAGTTGCAATCTCCTTTTATCCCCTTAAGAGTTCTAAAACTAGTCTGCAGGATGCTCATCACTATATTGGGATTTGACAAGTCATCACAGGGGGAGATTGCAGAGGCCATGCCTTTGTTTGGCTAATCTAAATCTGCCAAAAGATGCACAGCTTGGACGTACATCATTCAAGTGTAGTTTGGGATGACGTAGTGATCTAGATGCATATACAAGAAGGAAGCGCAAGAGCTTACCATCTCCAATGGAGAACCAATTACACCTAGAGGTAACTTCACACTTCCAACATTGCGAGTTCCATAAATAAACCCAGGCCTGAGAATCACTCCTAAACAAGGAAACATAAAACATTTCATCAGATTAAGGTTACTATAATCAATATATAAGATAATAATATCCTGTCAGCTTACAAGGAAGACATATATCCATAGTAGTAACCAATACACACACTAGTATCTAAACTGTAAGATTTTGACAATAAAATGCAATGAAAACAGTTTTCAGATATACAGGATGAAATCAGTAAATCATAACAGCATATTACATGAAGGAATTTTTACCACTTTCCAAATTCAAAAGTTTTAGGATGCTTTCTCAGATTTCAGTTGTTAAGAAGAGAGAAAATAATGAAGAAACTATGAGGTACACATTACAAAAAATGAAAACAAAAATTTACCTCCATATGCAAACTTGGTCAATAACTCCGTTTCAGCAGCCCTCTACTTCAAACAAACCACAAGTAAAAATATGAGGTGAGTGATATGAAAAGGGAAAGATATATATCATGACCGCACTTGAAAGTGTTGATTCTTCTTGTGATATAACTATTTAGTATCAAACTATGTATTATACAAATCAAGCTGAATCTAAATATAATACAAACTAGTTTTTATAAAGCTTTAGAAAACAGTTCTCATTTCCAGAAAGCTGAAGATGAAGATGTGTCATGCCAAATATCAGCATTGATGTGACATGACGCTAAATACAACTGAAATAAGCTGTAATGGAAATAGTACCTTTCCCTCATAATATCCTTGCAGCAAGTAATTGGCCAAGCCAAAGTCAGCAGCAGAGATGTAAACATATCTTTTTACACCTATAGCAAATGAGCAGCCAACTATCAAATCCAATCCATTAAAATAAATAACAACTGGGTGGTAGCCCAGCTGGTGGGGTACATGTAAATCCCCAGAGTATTCATAAGAAGAAAGAGAACCAGAACAACCTACAACCTACTCTCTAACAGCCAACTTATTGTAGGGCCAGAGACATGTAAAAGGATATAAAAATTCACAAAACTTAAAAAGCTCACTAGTGGTATCAGTGTAACACGGCATGCTGTAAGATTGCAGACAGACTATGGAATGAAGAATAGAAGTCAAAGGAAAGTAGCAGTAAATACCAAAGACCATGCTAAAACAAAATGCCTTCTAGAATTTGCTTCCTTTTAGGATGAATGAAGAAATAAGTCACAAGGAGAAAAGGATTAAGAAAGTAACACAGTGCCTAAAAGTCTCTCCTTTCCTTATTCACAAATATCTACACAACCACAGCTTTGCATGACAGCTATGACCATTCAAATACCTAATTCACTCGTAACTCCAAAATATGTAACACCATTTTCACAAGAGAAGATTCATCATAAAGGCTCCAACTCGGAGAAAATTATAACAATGGGTGGAGCAACTACAAGTAAACTAGGACTCCCTCTTACAACCATAAACCAGACTTATGCCTCTAAGGGCTTCTATTTGGAACAGCTTTCCCACACTTACGCACCACTCATCAGTTACCAATCACCACAGGACACAAAAAACTAACTAAATAAACAGCAAAAAAAATTATCTTTCTCTAAATATACCTGTTTCTGAAGCAGCTCTAATTGCATTTATATTTGCAGTTCCATTAATCTTATACATATAAGATTGCGAGCCAAAACCACCCACACAAGAAATCTAGAAAGCAAACACAAATTAGAAGAAAGACCAATCACTCATTAAAAAAAAAAAAAACGTTGTGTTGGTGGATAGGTGAGGAGATCACATACAACAGAGGTAACCCCATTTAGAGCTTCCGTCCATGAATCAGATGAAAGTAGGTTTCCTAGCAAAAGAAGACCATCAGAAACAAAAGTTTAGAGACATCATGATCTGAAATGCATAGAGACAAAAGAAAGCACCACATAACAATGTAAACCTTGATGCCAAGTCACGTTGTTAACCCATGAATCATTTATTGATGGCCTGCCAGACCTGAATGGAAAAGCCAATAATTTAAAAGAAACAGGAAAGAATCTATACATAATGAGAGGCCAAAAAAAGCACAAACACAAGAAATTACTCCACAAACCAAAAGTGCAAAATGATCCTGAATTTGAAAGACTAGACACTCCTAAAAAGTGAGAAAAATCCTTCTAACAGTCACCAATAGCATTATAGTAAACAGAAAAAAGAAGAAGAAGAAGAAAAGCTGGTAAGTGTAGAAAGAAAAAAAAGAACGGGGTCCACATAGCAAAAGCTACTCAGAACAACAAGCATCGCTGATATAACATGCAATGTGATCACATTTTTTAAAATCTTGAAGAGGGGGGTAGGGAAGCACATGACAGGGTAAGACACTGTCTTCCCTATATGATCGCTATATGTTTGGATTGAACAACATCATTCAAAATTTCTTTACCATCAAAAAGCACAGGAACAATTAGACATGAAATGAGAATCACCAAGAAATCAGCTATAAAAGACAATTTTAAACTTTGGAGGATCACAATACCTGCTGAGGCTAGCAACATGTAAGCCACGGTCTACAGCTTCTTTGCAGATATGAGAGCCAACAAATCCATTTCCACCTAATACAAGCAACTGCATTGACTCATATATCAGTCAAAATGTAAAATGTACCCCAAAAACTACAAGATATCTAAAGCACCAATTACAGCCTACTATCCAGCATACCTTCTCAGTTGGCGGTGGAGGTACATTCACTGTCTCAGCCTCCTCAACTTTAAAAGGTTCATCGACCTTATCAGAATCAGATTTAAAGGGTTCGTGAACCTTATTAGAATCAGTTGATAGATATCTCCCATTCCTTGATGCAACCATTGTACTATTTCCAAAAAAAATAAATAAATAAACAAGCTAATAGGAAAATTCAACATCCTTCACATTTGATAACACCACAAAATCATACATTAAGTTGCCAAATCTATTCACAAAATATCTGAATGCAAATAAAACAAGAAACACCCCAATATTTCTCATCACATAAGCAATGCCAATTCCCAAAACATCTTCTCTTTTCCCTTTTTTATTGTCCAGTTTTGGCATTTTCCAGTAAAAAGAGAAGCTGCTAAACACCCAAAATCATACAATTTTCACTTCAAAACGCCTCGTGTCTCTAAAGAAACCACTAACTCTAAAAACTCCCGTAAAGAAACAAGCAAAGAATACAATGTGATCTTACAAGAAATCAATGCCACACGATATTAAAGAAAGAACCCAATTTTTCCCCAAAAAAATAAAAATAAAAAAAAATATTCCACATACTTATCAACATAAATAACTCTATATAGAATGCTTCTACAATTCTGGAAATAACAAGCAAAAGAAATTAAAAAAAAAAAAAAAAAACAACAACAACAAAGGAAAACGAACGTACTATAATTGGGAGAGTGATGTTCTTGAATGGATCAAACGTGATCTAAGAGAATTCATTTTGGTGATTTGATCATAAAAGAGTTTTGGGGGTTTGAAGGGTCGGCTTCAGTTTCTCTACTTCATTTTTTACTACTAGAAAAGTCTGGTTGAAGGAGAAAGAGAACACATGGCGCGTAAAAGAGGCGACACGTTTTTCTGCATATGTGGCTTGCTGTCAGCCTGGAGAAACTTTGAAGAGGAAGTTTATGGTGTTGCTAGGGTATACTTCAACGACTGTGTGCTTACATTTTTTATTTTATCTTAATGCTTCATCAGTTTTTTTTTTTTTTTTAGGGGAGAAGCGCAACTCTAAACAGAGTAATTGATGTTACACATTCTTAAAGTTGCAATTTCACATATATCTTATAAGAAAATGCTAATATAACTCAAAAGAACAATTTACAAATAAGAAATACCAAATGAAAGAAAATATGCATGGAAAGCAAGTCAATCCGTTGCATGATTGCCCTTCTTAAAGGTATAAGAGACCCCAATTATCCAAGCTCGTTCGAGCATATTATGAATATTGTGATTTAGCTGATAATATATTTCTCAGCTATCATCATTGATATGCAACCATTAAACTATTACCATTGAGTCAGTTTCTAGCTAAATTTATCTGAAACTCAGATTTCACGTTAAGTTTAAACCAACAATAATGTTTCATAACTCTGCAATCACAAGAGCGCAGACTCCTATACGATAAGAGAAACTATACAATCAGATACTTAGCATCATCCTGAATGAGCCTCGTACTGTAGAAATGCCAAGCGAACCGCGAAATGCACAATCAATATTAAATTTAATCCATCCTGATTGAGGTTAGAGTCAGCCAATGAGAGTTTCATGATTGTTTACTTTCGGTCTTGCCACACGGGAAACCATTCCATGCTAGAAGCATTTTGACATGTGTAAGAGAAAATCAGATTACTGTAATGCTTCCTTAGTTTTTGATGACCTGGTTAGTAAATTATAAGTTAGTCCCTTTAGGTTTTAAAAATGAATTAATTAATTTTTTGTTTTAAAAATTAAATTTTTATTCTCTTCACAGTATGTGTCGATATGTTTAATTTAATATTATTTTATTTAAAAAATATCATCTTTTTTCATTAATTATTCTCAGCTTTTTTACTTGCTTTTTTATTTATCTATCTATTAAAATAAAAAATAAAAATCAATTGAAAAATAACAAAAGAAATTAAGTTACGAGAAAATATTAAAAAAATAAATTAAATAATTAGTCTTAAAAAATAAAAAGGACTGATTGATTCTTTTTTCGAAACTAGAGAGATTAATTTATAATTTACTCATGACTTAATTGATTGCTAGGTTGATCTCATATTTCGTTTCTATACTCTTGAGATTTTGTTGACGTGACTCCTTATTTTTTATTTATTTATTGGATCTTTTTTATTTTAAATATTTTTTTATGCGGTCCTTTTTATAAAATTTTAGTGATGATAAGTAACTAGTGGAATGACATGTCATATTAAAATAAGTATGTAACAAAATTTTGTCATTATACATGTTAGTTTTATTTGACATATCAGTAATTGGACAAAATCCTATCGAAAAAACACATTAACAAATTTTAAAAATTAAAAGAACCTGATAAATAAATAAATAATAAAAGTAAAGCAGCTCCGTAAAGAAAATCTAAAACCTAAAGAGAGTAATCATGCCGTTAATACCATAAGAATTTAATTATTTATTTAAATGGGACCTTTCTATTTTATTTTATTTTATTTTTCAAATAAGAAAAATAGGAAAAAAAAATTTATGCCGAGAGAATGAGCCAATACCCATACATGCTCTAAAACATTAGGAGATTTCTTTTCGATCAAATTAATATTGGGAAAATATCAAATATACATCCAAACTATTAATATAGTATTAATTTTACATTTTTCTATCACTTTTATTTCTAAAATATTTTACTTTCTCAATTATGAAATTTTATTAAAATCACTTAACAAAAAAAAAAGAAGCAAATTTCCTATAAAATGATATCATTTTTTAGAGAGTAAAAAGTACGATTAAAATGGAAATATAGAAGTATAAAACTTAGACCAGTTATGGGCCGGGCCTTCAAAGTGAAGAGAACCAATGATTCCAAAATGGTTAGATTTATCATCAGTCCATTATTCTTGGCAAAAGAAGCCCAGTATTCTATGGGCCTTTTTCTTTCATCCCCTGTTGAAAGGATGGTGTATCAGGAAACAACCGGAAACTTTTTTATTTTTTTATTTTTTCATCAAAGGCTCTGAGTTTTGAATTACACAATAATAAATAGTCATTTTTTATCACAAAAATCAAATAAAATAGAATATTTAATACTTTAATCTATTTTACTAAAAAAAAAACTACTAAATATACAACTGTTGGGATTATATTTATTTTATACGAAACAACCAAAAATTTTAATAAAACTTTCAAACTTTAATAAAATCAAAGATTTTTTTTTCAAAATCAAATCATGTGGCTAATTTTAAAAGTTGTGATTATAAGTACTGTTGGTTTTGCTTCTTCTTCTTTTCAATAAAAAAAAATTCAAAACAATTAAGTTTTAAATTTTTTTTAAAAAAAAAAACAAAAAAAAACAAAAATTGCAGATGATGCCAAACTAACCCAAAATATGTACTTGGAAAAGGAAACATGGTTCCATGCTTCGGATAATTGAAGTTGTTCATGTAACATGCTCTTCAAGGGGGTTCAAAGGAGTAAATTATAACTTAATCCTTATACTTTATCAAAAATAATTAATCAGTCCTTACAATATCTAAATAATTAAATAGTCATTTGATCAGCATCGATCATTCTCAATTTCTTAATTTTTTTAGTCCAAAAATTTCTTCTTTCCTAATTAATCAAAATTCTCCATTCTACCTATTTTTTCTTATTCTATTTTTCAATATAAAAAAATAAATAAATAAGAAAGAACATGGAATTGAAAAAAGGACTAAATACATATATAAATTCAAAACTTTAGAGATTAAACGTATAATTCCTAAAACTACAAAGATTGATTAATTAGTGTCTACTATGTCCGGTAATGAGCTGGTTAATTCTGCTTTCTACATAGTTAGGATGTGACCTTGTTTTCTTTCTCATTTTTTTTCTCTTGTGATAACCATAGCATGAGATGTGACTTTTCTTATAAGATGCAGACCAATAAATCGTGAGCAATGAGAGAAGTTAAGCTATAAAATGGTCTTTATAGCTTAATTTAAGTAAAATGTGAAAACATAAGATTTTTTTTTTTTTTAATTCACATACCTAAAACTTCGATAGAGTTAGTCTGTTAGAATTTAAATTCGTAATCTTTTAAAAGAGATCACTAATATTTTGAACTACAAGGTTTTTGATAAACATAGGATCCACTAGCTAGCTAGGAAACTACCTATATAGAGCATGAGGAAGTGGGGTGAAGCTTTGTTCTGATAGCAATAGCACAGGGGGTGTATGATGCAGGATAGCCACTCAATATATATCCGTTTATAGATAGGATCCCTCTCTGAGGAGTTGCGCAATGTGTGTATAAATAGGAGAATAACTCACGTTCATGTCAAAGATTGATGCAATTGTTCCTTGGCAATTTGGAATGGCAACTTTCTCATATTCTATAGATCACAATCTTTATATGATTCAAGGTTCTTGTCAATTCCAAAATCAATCTCACCAACTTCACTTCAATTAGTACCATTTCTCCAAGTAAATCCTATGTAGGAATAGAAAATTTGGACAATTGTATACGAGTAGGAAGTAGTAGTATGCAAGAATCAAAGAATTCTATCCGGTCGAACCCTAAAATTATTATTCGAAATTCTGAATTTCAAGATGTTAAATAAAATTCATTTTAAAGTGAGAATAAAAATCTTAAAATTTGGGGTGAGGGTATAAATTCAAGTCGAACCCCAACATTATTATCCAAAATTCGAATTTTTTTTTAAAAAAAAACTTATATTTTTTTTTATATAAATACATCAATTCAGGTATAGATTGTTTGTTTGAAATTTAACAGAGAATATAAAATATCTTCTACATTTCAAAATGTTAAATAATTAAAGTTCATTTCAAAATGAGAATAAAAATCCAAAATTTTACATGAGGGTGTACTAGATTCGAACCCCAACATTATTTTCCAAATTTTGAATTTTAAAGAAAACTTTTTTTTTTTTATGAATATATGTATTTAGATATAGATTCTTTGTTTATGATTTAACAGAAAAATGAACGATATAAAGATATCTTCTTAATTTCAAACTGCTCAATAAAGTTCATCTCAAAATGAGAATAAAATCCAAAAATTCATATTAGGGTATAAACTAGAAGGAAAGACAAGCATTCATCAACAATAATGTCATCGTAATGTCGTCATTACTCACTCCAAAGGAATATTACCTAAA